CATTCCAGAAATTATTAAACTTATTCTCTAAGTGCGTTTACAAATCATCATTTATTGTATAGTAAACCAGTGCTGTTATATGTATGGAATTGCAAAAAATTTAATATAAATAATACTATTTATAAAATGATATATTAAAGTAGTTTCATAATCGTTAAAAATTGCTTCTAGTCTAGGATTCACATGTTGTAGCAAGTCTGTATACCAACATTATATTTGTAAATCATAGTAATATTTTTAATGTATTCTAAATTTAGTGCCAATTTATTTATAAAAATATAGATATTAATATGTATTTTCTGTTATAGCAAATATTAATAAAATGTTGCTGTTTGCAAAACAGAATATTACATACCTTTTTGCTACATTGCAATTGTTTAATGTAGATAGATAAATGAGCTTATAATTAAATATTTAAGAATCCCATAAAAAAAGTGTCTTTTATATAATGTATTCCTTGTTACTTATGATGTAAATAAATAAGGGACAAATTGTTTTTACTTAGTAAAAATATAATTTAATTATGTCACTATTCTTACATCCTCTGGTGGTATTAATATGGGTGGTTCACGTACAAAACTTAGCAGTTTTTCTAACTTCATAATTTCTAAATCTCTGTGTGTTAAATGCAGTTGCCTTTTGGTTGGTCTTACTTTTATTCTAAGATTTGGTGACAATTTTAAAGTAGTCACAGTGCCTCTACGAATATAAAATGCAGAAATAAAATTCATACAATAGAAGTGTCAAATACTTGGTAAATACTTACTTGTCATCGCCAACTATAATAAATGGAAGTTGGTTGTTAAATGCTAGTCGAGTTAGTTTATTCTTCTTTTTACTAACAACTGCTTGACTACATATTGGTCTATATTTGTTGACATTTAAATCAAATACTGTGACTTTTCCATCATTGGAAACACAAGCTAATACTGTTGAACTATATGGTGCCCATTCAACATCTCCAATTGGAACACCAAGATCAAACATAAATAAAGGTTCCCTACAAAAGATTAAATATATAATAAGAACAGTAATATTAATTTTTTTATATATAATATTGTTTGTGTGATCTTTACATTCTATTATCCTCCCATATTTTTATTCTCCAGTCACCTGAACAACTTGCAAATATGGTAGAATTAAATTTATTAAATACTATTCGGTACACTGGCATATTGTGTGCCTCATCATAAGTTTTCATATAAACGCTACTATATGCCGTATTACATTTATAAATTGTTCCTTCTTCTGTACCTACTAAGAATACATTTTGATCTGCAGGATGAAATGCAAGGCATGTTCCACATCCTAAAAAAATTCGGTATTTTAGTAACATAAATAAATTTGAAGCTTGTGTTTTCCTTTAAGGATTTTATTTAATTACAAATAAGGTGTAAAAATGATTCATTCTTAAGGTTTGTGTTTAATTATGTTTAACAGAATCTTATAGATTATATATAGATAAAATTCATAATCTGTTTACTTATGTATATATATAAAACATAAAACTTTATTACCTTTAAGTGTAATCATGGTACCATCCGGTCCAGGTATTGGTGGTCGGTCTAGAAAAAGTGTCATAACCGTTGTTAAGCCAAGATCATTTTGATTTAATATCCAGTAATTTATTTTTCCATCAATGCTGACACTGTAGAATGCTAAATTACCTTCTTCTGTATCTGGTGCCCAACATACCTTAAAGTATAAATAATTTCTGTTCAATGAAATTCTGTGAATGTGTTTAAATTGCTAGAAGTGTCTATATTAAATTGATTTAATGTTTTTAAAATTTAACAAACCTCCCATACTATACCTCCATGTTTTTGACCAACATCATTACTCTTATATTGTGGAGCTGTAGGTGGTAACATGATGTTATAAACAGCAACAGCACCATCCATTGTGCCTTAATTGTAAAAATGAAGATCAACTTTATTATTATAAGAGTATTATATAAAATTTCTTCAATTTCGTACCAATAACCAGAAGATGTGGATGTTGTTCACTGAAGGCTAAGGACATTACTGGAGATTCTATTTTACAGATCCATTCTGGATATGATGGATTTTTTAAGCTAAACAAGCAAACTTTTCCAGTTGTTAATGGACTGTTAAATGACACTAAAATAAATTAAATGGCACTATTATAAACATGCGTATAAATATAAAATATTAAAACTTTAACATCTTGTATTAACTTGTTCCATAAGATACTGCAAATAAATCATAATATCTTCCATTAAAACATAAACCGGTAACATCATGCTTCTTAGTTTTTTCATAACTAAATTTCCATAAAGGCAATAACGATCCTTCCCCATCCTTAAATTCATCACTTGGATCATCCCAATACCTATAGTCTGAAAATGTTTATATATGTGTATATATATATTCATTGAATAAATTATAATTCTTTTAATAGTAACCTTGTGCTATGTCATCAAAAATATTTTGATTCACCATTCGTTCTAATGTTTTTGCTGCTTGTAACATTCGCGCTGATACTACCATGGATTGCGTTTGAGCTTGTCTTTTTATATCTTCCTTCTTTAGTTGTAAGATTGGAATTCTTTTCTCTTTTTCTCTTTCACGTTGCTGTTGCGCGAAATCTTCCTAAAATAAAAATATACAGATTATGTTTGTATTTTCAATTCGATTACTTTCAAATGAAAATACATACTTGATATTCATCAAAAATTGTCCATTGAAAAACATGTGTATTAAACGTTCCTGTTGGTGGAGGTACAGTTTGTGTACTCATTTCCTATAAGATAATCATACAATTAATTAAATAAAAAAGTTCATTTAATTAAATTTGTATACTATTATCTTACCCGTAAAGGATTAGTATATGTTAAAGCAGCTCTTTCACAAAAATTAAATTGATTTGGAATTTTTTTAGGTTTTATTGTTTCTATTTCTTCTTCATCTGGTTCAACTTCAACTTCAGGTTCTTTTTGTTCTTTTTCAACATCTTTAGATGTTAATTCATCTATAATTATAAAATATATGTTACTTTTCATCATCATTATTATTTCATTATTACTGTTCATCGTACCATCTTGTTCTTCTTTCTCTTCTCCTTTGTCTTCTTCACCTGCTGCTTCTTCTTCTTTCTCTTCTTCATCCTTCTCCCCTTCATCGTCATGTGACATGTGTGTCACATCCTGATGACTTTCCACTATAAAAATAACTACCTTTTTATCTAAATAGCACATTAATTATAAATATGGTAAACAAATTTTTTGTTATAAAGTTTTACCAACAAGACCACCAGATAACTGCACTTTTGCTTCTTCAGAGTCTTTGTGCAATATAGTTCCCTGTACATTTAAAAGAGTTATCAAATGTGGAGGAGGTGGTAATTTTATAAATTCTTTCAATTTCCATGACCATTCAACTAAAGAATCTGGTATTCTTGTATTATGTATAGTGAGAACTCTTGCAAACTCTTCTTGTAATTCCTGAAGAATAAGGCAAACAAATATTTTTAAGAAGTATATAATTAAAGTGTACAATATGTTAATATTGTTTAGCAAAGGATAACACATACTTCTTCTGTCAATTGTAGTTGATCATCTGGTTTGAGAAAAACCTTTCCACGCATCCATTCCATATCACCAGCTCCACTGAAGTCTACACGACTTCGCACAAAACTCATATGCTACATAGATACGATAAATTTGAATAGAAAGAATAATTGAAATTTAGTACTATATTTGAACAATGAAATACTAACTCTCATTATATCCCTATCTGATGCCTTGGAAGCTGATCTCTTTGTGTGTGGCATTGTTTTGACTTTCCAAACTAGTACAAAATTATGTACAAAATTGTAATACATTAATTATATAAATTAACATATTCTGAAGATACATTACATTATTTCAATTTATCTATTCTAATTTATTATAATAAATTTTAATTACATTATACTAAACAAAGTATTCATTAAAATTCTTACACTGTAGAAAAGAATATTAAAATTTTGTTGCTCTCCTGTGTAAATTAAATTGGTGTATAGATTACATAAAAAGCAAACATTACTTTATTACAGTAAACATACATTACAAAAATGACCTGAAGTTTAGTATGTCAGATTTATCTTTAGGAAATGTAGAAGTGTGGTTTCCTAGGAAACATGTTATATTGCTATGGTACTATTTGAGTAATATTTATTTTAAGTGAAATATTATATCATATCTTATATTAATTTATTATAACAATTAATATAATATTGCATATTAGCATTATTAAACGAAATATACAGTTTTAAGTAATTTGACTTAAAAAAAAATTGTTTTATTTAAATTTATAAAATAAATTTGATATATTTGCAATGCATACAGTGTAAAACGTATATCATATATTTTAATAGAAATTTGTTTATTTCTTTCAAAAAACCAGCAATAATGCAGAAATGTCTGTGTGACTATATAGATGAAAGAAAATCAATAACAGAACTTGCCATGATAATGTAAGCATGCTTGGTACTTATAGATAAGTCAGAATTATACACAAATACTTGTGAGTAAAATTTAAAAAATTGTACATTTTTAAGTATACTTTTGTGCAATACAATACATATTATTTGTAGATTATGTTACATTTGGAAATTACTTATTTTCTAAGTACCTATACAAAGTACCTGTGTACAAACAATGACTGTGTGTACATTATAAATGGAATTTATGCATTGTTATTTAACGTTTAAATAATAAGAGGTATTTTGTTAGTTATATCATAAGAAATTCTTGTATATGTATGTGGTTATGTAAAATAAGTGTTTGATTTTTAGTGTAAAACAGTGTTGCATTTTTTTTCCAGATGAGTTGAAAGTGTAAGTCTTTTATGTAACATAACATTTTATTTTGTCATGGAAGATAGTGGAATTGACAGTGACCCAAAGAACACTGGTCATACAGAAGATGAAAGACTTTTCTTGGTGAGTATATAATTTGCCATATTTTACTTTATGAGACAAGTGTAATGAAGTCAACATAAAATGAAATGAAAGTGTATAATTTCATAACATAATGTCGAATACTTCTTTAGGGAAGTGATAGTAGCTGTAGTAGCAATCAAACACAAACATCTCAACACAACTCTACTACTAAGCAACTACAAAAAAAACTTGGTATTATTGTTAATTTAGTATCTTATTTCACATTTATGATTAGTCTGATGTGTGTAAAACTCAATCTTTATAGAGGCAAGGATTGAACAAGCCAAACGTATTCAACGTAATTCAGATTACATAAAGTTACCAAAATATGACAAAGGAAGTAATAGTAGTAGTAGTACTGCTGGTTTAATATCAATTCAACGGCTTCCCATACCAAATAAAAATAAAGAACATCTTCCTCTTGTTGAATATTGGCATAGCGATAGTGAAAGGTAACTAGAAATTTTAATAAACACAATTTCCTCATAAATGTGATAATTTTTTTGGTTTGTTTGTTAAATATGTTACAAACAATGTTTTAATTTATAGTGAAGGTGAAATGACCCTTTTTCCACCATCAAAGTCGAAAGATTCCTCTAAGCACAAACAAGATTTGACTGATACTTTCAGTATTGAAGAATTAAGTGAAGAAAGTGAGGATTCTTTAAATTTAGGACCAGCACAACCATCTCCAGAGCTAAAATTTATGCAATCTTATGGATGTACAGAGGAATGTTTTCGATGCCAGTGCCAGATATTGTAATTCACTGTTATGTATATGTTTTAAGTATATTGAAGATTAATTATTTTTTATGTATTGTTGAATATTATTTAATGTTTTGAAATTTCATATAATTATGTGATCAGAAGTTTTATATATATATATATAGAACCGTGCAAGCCAAATATATTAAGTATTTATATCATGTAATTTAAAAAATGTTCATTTTTCCCATTTTCCTAGTTGTCTGACAAAACTTTTAATGAATTTAAATACTTGCAAGTTATAGATATTAAAAAAAGATGATACTGTTTTAAGTTAAATAAATTCTTTTATTTTCAATTCAATTCACAGGTTCAAATAATAAAATTGAAAAATGAAAGTGTTAATATTAATTCTTTATTATTTCTTAAATCTTTAACAATGATAAAAGGACATAAGATATTACATTTTATTGATAATAAAGATTGTTACAGAAACATATAATAAACTTTTTCGTTTCGAGTAAAAATATATTAAGTGTGCTTCGTGTGTTATCGTTGTTACTTTTTGTGAACTATACAAGTTATATGGTATGAATAAATTGTTTTATTTATGAAACCATCTTTCTCTTTTGTTTAGAAGCAAACCATATGCGAATGCTAGTGTTATACAACGAGAATGTCTGCAAATAGAACGCTAATTAATCGCTTACACTCGATAAACTTGTTCTTCTCTCTGATACTCCGATGAGCCAGATTTATAATTAGATTTACAAGATTGAGACGCACGTACAGAAATTAACAACCCGTTCAAGATTCATATATAAGATGAAATCTTTACGTTATAATATAAAAAATGGTATATATTTGAGAATCACTTAGGAAACATGTTATTCAAATCACTTTATTTAATCTTGCTGTACGAATCAATGAAATATTTACAGAATATTGAGTTATATAATTACAGGATGTATCCATAACTTGCATGAATTATCACTTTTTTAATAGTGCGAGATAATTAAAATTATATGAAAAGTTTCATAATTGAATACTGTTAGAACTAGAAAAAGGTTTTTATACTGTTCCTGAATATGTAGTTCTTAATTCTGTAGTTGAAGTATGATTCTCTTACTGTGGGTTTTGTGTTAAGAACTTCGGTAAAAGGAATGGATTATAGTAAAAATTTACTTTATACGTATACATTGCATCTTCATGTATAGAACGACCATAACGGCGAATTGATGCATTGCGTATGAATATTTAAATGCACCCGGTCCCGCGTATTGCCCTCGTATGTATAATATTGTATGAGGGAGATGTATTCACAAGCTACGTCGTCACCACTGCCGGTACCGTCATAAATTAAATGAGAATTATGGCGTATTTTGTAACCAATTTGAAGTAATAAATTTCATCCCTTCGGCGAACGTGACAACCTGTAATGTGAGCGCCACTAATGTTCCTTCATTTATTCGTACGTTCCAAGCGAAAATGAGAAAGAGAGGTGAACCTCCTTAAATGAGATTCCAACGACCGGTCCACCACTGATTTCTGTTGGATGTTGTATCTAAGACATGAACAAAGAGAGATTCATTGATTTCTTTTCCTCCTGTTTAACGGTGAACATTTATGTAAAGTATTCTAGCCTTTTTCCTGAAGAGTCTGCAACATATAGACGTAATCGATTCTTCAAACAAAGGCGAATTTATTTTTGGTGTTCGTTCACGAACATTGTAAAGTAATAAATGTTATATAAAATTGTAAAGATGAGTATATTCTTGTAACGAATAATTGAAAGATTACAGTATAAATTAAAAGAAGTCGTGTAGTATTATCATTCAAACTCTTTTCGGTCGTATCAGGCGAGTTCTATTCATTAGCCTGATAAACAAACTGATCTAACATGGTGTAATGCGGCGTCTTAATCAGCAAAAGTACTGATTTTTTGAGTCACCGTAGTTGGACATCACCTTTGAATCTAATCCCAAACCAGTAGAACCGGATTTCGTGAGAATATGTCCTCCAAGGCTTGAAAAAAGGATCCACAAAACCATAGAAGGATAGGAGAATTTCGTTGGTACGTAACGTGGTGTTTAGGCATTATACAGAAAGCAGCACATTATATTTTGAAAAATTTACTATACAATACAAATAAATAAATTTAACATTAGATATTAATGTTTATGTATAATGCAGTTTGGAATCCTTAATTTTAGTCCTTTGGTTCGAGAGTTATCAGGTTTTGTTTCTTAGTTTCGGGAGTCTTCAATGTTGGATTTTCATAGTTAGGGGGTTTGCGCCTTTAGTTCTCAAATTCAAAGGTTCCTGGGTTTGTGGGTTCTATGTTTATATCTCAAGATTCTAGAATCCTTTCATTTTGAGTATTTTGTTTCTTGAGTCTTCAAGCATTTTGTTCGAAAGTCTTTAATCTTGAATTCTTCGGTGCTAGGATTCATAGTCTTGGATCTTTACATTCTAAGGCCGTATCTTTAAATTTGGATTGTTGAATTTCGATTCAATGTGTACAGATTTTAGCAGAGCTGATTCTTATCTCATAGTTCTATATGGATTTAATCGAAGTCCCACACCGTGACAGTGCAAGTGACGAAGATTGCACTCGGCTTTGACTATCGTTCCGTTCCTTCGTGTCTTCAATTTTTAAATGCACGTAGCTTGTAATTCTTTGGAATACCAAGGAGAATCTGAACTGACGTTAAGCAATAGTACCAGTACGACTTTGTATCTGAGGAATTCGCAAAAAGGCTAAATGTCCGATTATAGCTACTACGCCAATGAGTTTGTCCCGTAACGGGGCTCGAACTACGGTCCGCTGCTTGCTTACTCGAAACCCATCGCTTCCTGTACCAACGACTTTTTTTCTCGGGCAACCAGGCTTAATTAAATACCGGTGGACGAAGGCATCCGCATCCTCTTCTCAGAGGGCTGCGCTTACGTGACTGCAACCGCGGTTTTACCTTGCAAAGAACGAGGACGGATAAAGTTAGTATATCCCTCCTCTTCTGTTACGTAATATATTTATTTACATTATTTAAACTTTTTCTTTGCAAGTGCTCTACACTAGGATCCGAGATATCTTCATTTTCAATACTTCGTGTTAAGTCTATTTCCATAAATCCTGAAACTTTCATAGTTTCCATGTTCTACGCCTAGTGTTCTTACAATTAGCGTTAGATAATTAACTACAATCTATGCATCAACAAACTAATCTGAGTTTATTATTGTTAAATATTGCAGCACTAACTAATCAAAATAATTATCTCATTCATGCTTTATTTCTGGTAAACTACTGTCCTCCCAAATGACATTTCCAAAAATTAATCTTTTGTACTCGGAAGTTTCTCAGTAGAAATATTTAACATTTTTTTACGAGACAAAGTCGATATTCTTTGAAATTAACTCGAAGGGAAATCTCAAGTGCATTGAGGAACAAAGTTATTTTATTGCAATATTTCACGTATCGAGACATTATACAAAGTTCAACATTAAATATCAGATTTTATAGTTTTACTGCGTCAAATCAAATGGTGACTGAGAGTCACCTCCCGAGTGCAAGGGGTTAAATTAGTACGAAGTAAAACTCTTTTCCAACGTTCCTGAAAAAGAGCAGTATCTCAGTTAACTCTCTGCGGGCGAAGACTCTTTACAGTATAGAAAACTTGCAACATATGAAGCTAAATTATACATCGAATGCTTAAACGATAGAAAAAAAGGAAACTATACACTGATTTCTTTCTGCTCGATTAATTAAATCATTCGTTTGCAACTTAGTATTTCAAATGTGAACATTTCATCTGACCAAAATGTCGACATTTGTCCGCAAAGGGTCAACTCCTTGACGTATTATTTACATTCTCTACTAAGCTCGTGTAACATTTTGCTATTGACAGTTTGGAAGAAAAGCACCAACATTTTTGATTCTACTTTAAGCGGAAATTTGATTTGAAGATAATACGTTTATAATAGTAAAATAGTTTTTTGCTTTGATCCGTGAGCAATGAACATCATTGATTTTTGTTGACGAGTCTCACTCGTCATTATATGGCAAGGGGTTAATCCAATAATTATCAAAGACAATACAAAAATTTATGAACGTAATTTCTCGCGCAAGCTGAAATAAACAATAACAAAGAGAAAGAAGGAAGGATCGACCGTACAGAAACGCGTAAACGTCGCCGTAACCGGCGACACTCACGCAGAGACGCAGTTGCGTGTGGTACATGTAAAAGGACCTGTCTCCATGAATGAAGTCAACCCGACCACGTGACGCGCAGGGGGTGTATACGAGTACGGTGGAGAGCGTGCGCGTGAAAAGCGCGGCAGCGTGTGTCCACGCGGTACGGGCAGGTGTTCGGTGATAGGTCGACAGATGGCGTGGACGTCGCGTGGCGGCTGCTTGAAACACCTGACCGCTGACTAGCAGTGCGGCATGGACTTGTGCGGCAGGCGCACACTTCTTTTAAAACAGGTAGCACGCGCGGCTCCGGCTAATTGTTTTTATTTACGGCCGGTCGAACCGAGCACGGTGTAATGTGCACGCGAGTGTCAGCGGTCGAGGGTGCTGTTTTCGCCCAGTGACAGCCCTTCGAAGGGACCGGAAACGGCGGCGGAGGTGGTGGGAAAGCGACGACACCGACGACATCGACGCGACGCAAAACGACGCGACCAACGAAGGGATTCCTCGAAGTTTCACCAACCTCGAGTTTCTCACCCGTGGAAAGATTTGGCTTCGTTCCGCCCGCGGTCCTGCGTGCGCAGTAATTATGACAGTTGCTTCGATCTGCGCACGCATCGATTACGCGCCCTCGGAAGGTCAGCCCGCTAACCTCACTTCCCCGGGATCGGTTTAAAAAGACCGGAAAAAGAATGTGCGCGCGGTGACTCGTTCGACCCGAGACTCGTTTCGATCGGTTCACCCTTCGCCTCCCTGTTTTCTTCCTCTGGGTCGTTCTTATTACTCGTTTTAATGATATGCGAGAACTGCCGACACATTCTGCACCCCGTGATTCAAACCTCCCGCTTCGAGCGCTCGATATTTTCGAGCTTTCGAATTCGAAGCGTCGATCTTCGCGGCTCGCGAAAATGTGATCGAACGGGGCATCCCCTGTCCCGCGACGGATTTATCGTGGCCGGTTCGTGCGTGTGCTCTTTATCACAATGACGGTGGATCGGTCGGTGGCGGCGATGGTGTTGATCCTGGTGACCACCGTGATCGTGTTTGTCCACGCGAAGGATGTGACGACACTGGAGTACGACGACTTTCTTCCGGCGAACGAGACCAATGCCCGGCATCGCGTCGATACAGGTTAGGCCCTTACTCTTTTCATGCCGCTTCTTTCTTTTTGATTTTTATTCACGGAATTCGCGAATTTTCAATATTATTAACACGTCGAATGCCATGGGGGTCGCCGGTGACTCCCAATAAAATCGAATTACTATAGTTCGCTCAATCAAATGATGATTATTTGAAACCATTTCTGTACTATAAATAATGCTATCTAATACGGTGACATTCAGCTAAATGTAGGCGCAATAATAATAATAATAATAATACAATTCAATCAAATGATTTAATATTTGATTTTTCCATTTCGTGTATTTTTCTCCATGGAATCATGCGGCATTCAACGTTAATTATCATTTTCTTTTCAATTGAACTGTTCCAGCGGGTAATTTAATGTTTTCAGCAAGCAATTTTGGTTGAGTATTCAAGAAAAATTAATTATAGGATGTACCACTTAATAACGTTCTTCGACTCCATATTGGAAATGATTTGTAGTTACTCTCATGTAACTGGAATGCACATCAGAAATAATTAATTAATGTTCTTATATTTCTCAGAGCGGATGTAATTAACGTTTAGGATAAAAGTTCTAGTATCCGTTTAATTATCACCGGTAATTTGTTTTATTTTCCTTGATTATACTTCGATATATTGGGTTTATGTATTCGTTGAATATTAATGCCATCGTTTTATTTGTATTGTTATTAATACTATTTTCAATCTCGGAGGAATTGTAATATTACGTTTACCATAATATTTCTTCTACCTGCTGTTGTCAGTGTCGATTTTATACACGTCACGATTTGCATTGAATGTCAGCGCTCATTTAAATTATCGAAAGTGTCGCTTATGTTTCTTGCACAATGTGTGCCGCGGCACAACCTTCCTATGGACACTGCATTAGCAATGTTAATGGAATCTATTTTATATAAATACACCTACTGCGATTGCGACATAATGCTTACTATACATTACAAATTTTATTCGCGAGAAATTTGAACGGAGTTCGAATCTGTATAACATTTATCGTTGATAAAGAAGAAGAGGGATTTTCGCAATATTTCCTGTTCGCCGCACGGCAATTGCACTCTCTTGAAATCAGTACTATGACGGTGAATGCTTGAACTTTGTTACTCGTCTCGGATTTGCCGAGGACGAATGACCTTTGCTCTAACGCTTCTGTGAAAGTGTTATACGTTCGCCGAGGAGGCCTTGTGCCTTTCCGAAGTTATTTTCTAACGCCTACATTTCATGCGAAAATCGCACTTTTCTCGCGCCTTTGAATGGTGAAACTGATTACTAAATATGATTTCATTTTTCGTTTGCTTCTGGAAACTGAATTGCAGAAAATATTAATTTATCAAAAAGATGTAGGCTGAAGATTATTATCAGAAAAGTTGCAACAGCTTCTATGGATTGTGTACCATAATTATTAGTTATAATCCCAGCATTAAAAATAACATGATCATTATAAGAATAAAAACTGCATTTTTAGCAATTTTGACTTTAAAGGTCACCCATTACTGTAATTAAAAAATTAATTACCGACTGATAATATCATAGCTAGTCGGTATTCGTTTCGTTTCATTTTATCAATAACTCTGTGGTCATTAAAAGTAGTTATTAGAAGTATTATTATTTCTTCTCTGGCTCTAGTATAGTTTGATCCAATATAGCGCAAGGCAAGAAACCTCGATTAACCAGAATTTTCCGATTGTAATTCAATGCGAAGGAGAAACGTGTTTGCAGGATGACTCGCTGTTACGCTCGGATTGACGAACAATGAACTCCGGTTCGTCTGCATTGTCCTATTGCTCCAATCATTCGCGTTGGCCTAACTGGGACCGAGTATCATCCGTAACAAGTCCTCGGATTACATAAGTCATAGCGAAACCCCATAGCGGATCAGTGACTTAATCTTAATTATTATGCATTTACCTTATGCAGATCATCGTAATCTGCATATACCATTACCATGCACCATTAGGATCCATACAGCACGTTAATACGTATAGAAACATTTTGCATTTGTTTCGAAATCATCGTAGATTATCTCGGGTCAGATTTAATCCTTAGGAATTATTCTATAACGTGTAATACGCTCGTAATTGAAAACGAGTGAAGGAGGAAAATATGCATTGAAAGTGTTAACAGATATTATACAACACATTTTAATACAAACATTATAATATAATGAAACGTTCGAACTTATAAGTATCTAATTAAAATAATTAAGGTATATTCATAACGAGAATGAATCTATATAAAAAATATAGAACACAATTTTGTTTATAAGAAATTTCGTTTGCCAAATAATCGACACTGAAAGTTTATCCGTTGGGCACGCAGTCTTCGTAAGAAGTAGAATCAGTGAATCTTGATCAGACGCGGCAGAGGATTCAGCACGCGCCTCTCATCAACACATTCACTGCCATGGCGGTCACTAATGACCAACACTGCAGAATTGCTTGGAAACAATTCCACATTCTACATTCTGTATTTATTTCTTCGTGTTCGGTCATTTTTCTTAATGCATCTCGAGAAACTTAGAAACCTTCTTTTGATTCGCAAGAAAGAAAAAAAGTTCTCACGACGCGCAAGAATGCGCAGGTCATTATCGGGCATCGTTGGACAAGATCCACAGGGTCAACTGCGTTCGATTGATTTACATTTCGTTTAGAAAGGCGGAAATGCGTGTCCGCGCGTGTCGACGCGAGGTGTCGTGTGCCAACTCGGCGAACCCTCGAGGAGGCGTCTAACCGCGCGTGCAAATTAGCCGCGCGGCCGCGCTTTCTATCGGCGCCAAATAGAATTTGACGGCCAGCGAGTCGCAACCTGCGCGCTCACGTTTTTCGATCATTTAATCGGTCCGTCGCGTCGGTCGAATCGAAATACCTTGCTCGAAGGTTTTACTGTACACGCGGGTATATATGTAGTCACCGGCACGAAACAATACAGGATATGATGTAACCGGCGCGTGTTGAAACTGTACTCACGTGTTGAAATCGTTTCGGAGACATTCTAGCGATTATCAATGATCAGGGTTTCCTTCGGGAACACCGTATCTGACGGTTTCAGGAAATTCTTTCCGGTTGATCTGCATGATCGCTAATTTAGACTGCAGTTTCAGTGACATTTGAACGCGTTACATTCTTCGAAATGCACAATACGCTATTGTGTAATTTTTCAATTTGAAGCATTTGATTCGACGAGGAATATTTCATTGGGAATTGTTGAAAATTTGGACTTGTTACGTATGGTAATTAAATTGAAAAACAAATTATCCACAGCCGATATTGCGTCGTACTCATTATCATTTTGGATCTTAACTCATTGCTCGGCGATTAAAAGCAGTGCAGGATAGGCGCGCTATTTTAACATTTGCGACAGCGTCTGGTGCATCTGATGAATATGCATGCACCGGCGATGTAAACGTTGCCAATGTAGAATTCTTTTCAACCTTGGTGCCAATGGTAGCCGGGTACGTGTCGCGCCTTTGGTTAGGAGGTAGGAATCTCGCGAACGTGGCCAGGGGTTAACTGTACTAGACCACTCTACAGACTAGCGGAGCATTTGTTCGACGACAGTCGATTTACGATTTGTTAATTTCATTCGTTTGATAAGAGATTCTGTGTTCGAGATTATGCGAGTCGACTGTTTATCTATTTTGACCGCGTGTGGAGGTAGTTGCGAGCGAGAGGCGAAGCAGAATAAAAGGTCTGGCATCGTGTCTAGGATATCTCGAAGATTAATGTACACGCAATGTTAAATGATCGAGGGAGATTTAATTAAGATTAAATCCAGGTGGGATGATTATTTTAATTCGCGACCGCGGCCATGTAACGATGCCACGTAATATACATGATTTATTGTCTTCTTGTATTTTTGAATCCAGAAAGTCAGCGAGCGTGTGTGTATATGGGGTATCGATACTCTTATCATTATTCATTGAAATTGATTACGGTGCACCACTCGTTCTAATCAATCATATTCTTTTCATTGACAGTCGCGCAATATGAAGACTTGTACCCTCTACCTTTCTATTCACTATCCTTTTAGGATCGTTGTTATTGCAGATCATTATTAATATATACAAGAAGGAATTGAATAAATTTACAGTTCTACATAGAGATTTAAACCTTCAGATTTTAGTTGCTGTTTAGAAGATGCGTTGAAGGGAATTCACCGAGTATTCGATTGTCATCGACGGCCCGCGACGATCGGCACACACGTAATCTTTAGGATAATAATTGTCACGGTCGCGGCGTGTTCCTTAAACTGTTGCGTATTGCCTTGTACGTGTTACGGGCATGGTCTTGTAATGCGATGCAAGGATTTCAAGGTTTCGCCTATACGGGTATGGACAGCTTCGCCATTCGTCCGTGTCGCGTACATGGACGCGGAGCAAGATTTAAACGAAGTTGCAATAAATCATGCATACTTGCCATTGAAAGTTCGACAGCAAACCAGTTCTCTCGCATTATCGAGTTTTTTCCGGCGGTTGTATTGCTTCAATTAGCTTTACCCGCGTGCGTGAAATCGAAATTTCCCCGGCCACCTCCCACAATAATCTTGCTGTACGCTAATTTTCTGTATCTACCTTTGGGAGAGAATTTCTTGGAATTAATTTGAACAATAATTGCAACTAACGAGACGTCGCTTTATAATTTCTGAAACAAAATTTCAATCTACAGATTAACCTTGAAAAGATTATAGGGAACGCTTCTCCACGTAAAAAAATTATCTTATTTCAGTAAAGGTATTCACGGATTAACATTTAATTAGGAAGATTAATGAAAAATGAAATTAAAACTTCAGTTTATCTCTCGTCTCTGTTTCTTACAATTTTAAGGGCTGCTTTCACCCCTTCAACGTGGACGGAACGAATATAGAAATACGTGTCAGGTATTGAAAATATTAAATCAATTGCCTAGAGAGATTGTGCACCCTTCATTGAAATATTAGATCACCTGATACAATGCTCTCCCATTAGAAATCACGTGATCATGAGTTTACGTACA